TAAAGAGAGAAGCTCAGCTGGATCAAACGTGATCCGATGGCGAATATCTCAGGTGTGGCTTCCGTTCAGTAGCAATTCTAAATATGTTTTTCAGATAATATTTCTTCATTACATCATTATGAAATTTACATTTCTGCCTGTTTTTATGTGATAAAATTCCATATGCTCTTATACATATTTATGTAAATTACCGGTTTCATTGGAGTTTCACGGCATATATTTATATTTCGAAATAATGTTTCTTTTCAAAATTATCACTTGTCTCGGTCAAGATTGAAAGTCACATCCTTCCCTCGGACTAACGTCTAAGGGCCACATTAAAACAATGCGATAACAGTTATTGAGAAAGAAGAAACCTCCAATATACAAATAACCATTTCATTATTGCTATTCTATGCATACATAATTTCACATCATACAATAAAGCCAAACATTTTTCAACATGTGCAAGAACATTTAAAAAGAGACAAAATATATACTAGCAAAAATGAAGGATCAAACTTTATCATGGATGGATTTGGTCGATACTTGATAAAAATCCACAACTTATTCAAACAACACATTATTGTAAGATTTTCATTGCATAGTTTACAAAACCGCAACACGTGTTTCGCAAGATAATATCTTCCCCAAGCGGTTTCATACTAACAATTTCAGTCATGTGAACTTCTACCCGCATAATGACTAATAATTTTACCAGAGTTTAGGTGAAAAACTTGAGCCACAATAAATCCTTGCGGGTTGCGGTGGAGGGTCGAATAGACCTACTCACTTTAGACCTAACCTAACCTAGGTAAAAACTGATTGAAATTTTTAAACTTAATGAACGTAAATTTTACCGACTCATTAAATGGACATGTAGATTAGATTAGATTGTCGGGGAGCTAGCCCATGGCCTGATTCACTGCGACCTTTTCAGATTTATTGTGATGCTCGTTGGTTGTTAGAGTTCATTGTCTAGCTTGATCTCTTTGATGAGACTCCATAGCCTTGACACTGACCCTATAGCTGGCAGCGTCTGGTTTTTCTTCCCTGCATCTTGCGTGTTTCAGCCTTGCTGTCGCGTTCACAGAGCACACGCAGTGCGGTTTCTTCCTCTTCTTGACAGAACCTGTATTGGTTTTCTTTTGTCATATGTTTCCTGAGCCGGCTATGCCCCGTTAGTAGACCCACCACTACCCTTACAACCTTACGGTTGTGGTTCAGCAGGTCTTCCGTGAATCTGGGCGATGGTTTCTTTATGAACTCTTTCGCCTGCCTCATTCCTGGGAGCTTATTCGACCATTCTATCGATTCGGCTTGCATCCATGAGTTTATGGATGTTTTTATACATGCTTTCGCTACCCCGCAGAAGGGTTATGGGCCCTCATGTCCCAAGCTAGAGTGACCCTATTTTAGGTTCTTAGATCCTTGAGTGCGCTCAGACAGCGTCCCACCAGTCTTGAGAGGACTTGAAATGAGCTGAGCGCTTTAATTGCCGCCCGGCTGTCTGAGAAAATGGCAATGGTTTTATTTGTGACCTTCTGCCTGTTTATTTCCCCTATACAGTGTTCTATGGCCGCTACTTCTGCCTGGAACACAGTTGCATTATGTCCGAGGCTGAGTGCGATTCTCGTCTTTGCTCTGCCTCCGTATATACCAGCTCCCACTCCTTCTTGGGTCTTTCAGCCATCTGTATACCAAGTTTCTTCCGCTTTTACCGGTAGGCCGTTTTGCCAGTCCTCATGTACATGTTCAAGTGGTCCTTTATATAATGACTAATAATTTTACCTGAGTTCAGGTGAAAACTAATTGAAAATTCAAACATAATCAGTTTCTACTTAGAAACGGATAAAATTATTGGTCATTAAGTAGGTAGAAGGTTATATGTTTCAAATTTTTCTTATATAAAGCACAAATTATACACGTTTGAACCTTTGGCGTAGAATAAATACAAGAAATCTCTTGAAGACACCAACGTTATTACTGAAACGACCGTCGAGAAGAGTATTGCATTGGATCCATTTAATGAGTTGGTAAAATGAAATTATTATAGAGACAAGTCATGCGTATTGTCCCCTTTAAATTTAATATCTGATGGAAGAGTGCGATAATTTATATTTCATTAATAAAACTGCAATTCTTTCGCCTTGAGAGATTCATTATTTTAATGTTGTCCTTAGTCACCTCTGTCTCTTGAAGCTGTCTGTGCGGGTTCCCTTCCAAGGTGGCATCTCTAGTCAAGTTACTTGATCGTGGGAAAACTAAGATCAACCTAATGACCCTATTGATGTTTTTTTCTTCTACTTGGAAACCGTCTTGGCTTGTCCATTTTTCCCAAGTCTCCAGAAAACACTGAATGCGTCATGGGCTTATTACGTTTTCCTCCCATCTTCTTCCTTCATGCCTCCCAGTCCAACAATCTTGTTTCCTGTACAAATTTCCACAGATGTTTCTTGATGGATATATGTCATACTTTTCTGGATATAATATGGGTTGTCCATAAATTGTTTACCTCATGTGATGAAGTTCTTCACATTCGCATAAAACTTGGCATGCTGTCTCTGTCCGTTTGTTGCATTACCTGCCCTATTTTGCTCCAGGGAGTAGACTTGTAATTGTTTTGGCTGATCTCTTTTTGGACGATTCCTTATAAAGGTTTTACCATGTGTGTTCCGGGTACACTTCCCAATCTGGTTCTGTACCATCGATTTTGGTAGGAAGAGGTGCGTCAGGGCAGCACTTCACCTCAAGAGAAAGGAAAATATTGCACGAGCCATATTTTGTTGATTTCCTGATGACTATCATTGACTATCTGCTGTTGTTACTTTTGACATATTTCCTGCTTATAACTGCATTGCATATTCTGGGTTTTTTGTTGTATAAAGTATGGACTCTCGATGTGATTCTGCCCTTCTGCGTTCAGCCATACCGTGTGAAGAAGAACCGTTTTTGTATCCATTTCCAAATATTAGGAATCGGGTGCTAACTTCATCCAACTTTCAAATTTACCATACGTCTGGGAGTCATATTGTTGAAATCTCTTGACCTTATTGTTACCTACGTTTTGCAGTTCATAATTCACTGAAGACTGTTGCCACTTGTTTTCACAGTGTAATGCTACTCCAATAGGTAGGAATGTGGAATTCTGGCCTCCAAAACTTGCTGGTCGATAGATCTATTAAGAAAAGTCATGAGAACCTCTCAGAACCAGCTGGATCAACCTTTCAACTATAGCTATATCAACCTTTCAACTATAGCTAGATCATTACACCTGTAAATGGGTGGACTTTGTGTAAGTAGTGTGTTATGCTGTCTGTCGTTGCTGAGACTTCGAGTTGAACCATATACCACAGAAGATGTCCACCGTAATAGCAGACGAAACAATTGGTACTACAAATTCCATTTGACCATGTCCTACCAGCTCGGATTTTGTTCTCTGTAATCGTGTCTCAGGCTGTGGAAGCCTATATGTTTTTACAATGTATCATGCCTTTTCCTTGACATCTAATTGAACTTTGACTAGTTAATAAACCCTTTTCAAGTACTTTGTAAAAAACCATTCAGATCCATTGAGTTTGGTGAGGGTTTCATCAGTCATCAATCCTGGCAATGTATAACTAACTTTTTCAGTGAAATCGGCTTGACTCGTGACTTTCTGTATCAGATTTGTTTATCCTGTAGATTTTGTCTCTCGAGGTGCTTGAATCATCCGCATCGACTTTCTTTTCATTTCCATTCAACATTTTTTGCTTTCCCGAGTTCTAGCATACATTGACAAATATTGAACCAACAATTTTTTTATATAGTTTGGACAATTGATGAAGGCTTGTACTCTAATCTGTTCCATGAATTCGTTCGGAACTTGAAAATAGGCTAAATTGATTAGTCTCTTTCATAATCTGCCTCATACTCAAGTTATTGACATCTGCTCATAAGTTGAAACTTGTTTCAAGAATTTTTGTCCACAAAGATATAACGCTTTTACAATCAATGGTACATATAGTATACACGAAGTCAGTTCGAATGGCATAAAATATTAATTTGTCTAGACAGAATTCAATATATCACTGAGGACTCTAACACAATATGGGAATCTAGAAACCAATGACAAATCTTAAAAAAGATAATCGGTTAAATAAATAAGCTTTCTGATTTTCTACTTTTTCATAATTAAATAAAAAATGTAGGAAACTTTCAAAGAAAGGTAGAAAAAATAACTAATAAAATCTTTTTGTATAAATTTTTGTAAAGTCCGTAGATGGTAAGACAAGTGTCTCATGCCGAAACTTCGAAGTACACCATTCAGGGTGATATTGTTCCATGTCATTTTGTATAAAAACTCCATCACTTTGTGTAGCGCTCCTATGAATGAAATCTGTTTCAATTCCATAACAAATGTTTCAAGTGCAAATTGAATGAAAGTGATTTCGTTCAATTCAATGTTCATATGAAAGTAGTTGTTTCAAAAAGGTTTTTTCTTTCAATTTGTATATGAAAGAAAATTCTGTGTATGCTCTACATACCTTTATGATGAGTTTTTATTGAAGTAATTTTTTTTCCTTTATTTGGAAGTTTTCTAGATTTTTTTCTTTAATGATTAGTGAAGTAGAAAGCTCAAAAGCGTTTTTCCAATAAAACTGGTATCTCCTAAAAATACTCATTTTTCAATTTGAACGATGATTATTCGTTTCTGACAGATACAATATAAAAATAAACAATCGTTTTAATTCAAACATGACTTTTCCAACATAAAAGTCGTCATGCAATGCATTTTAATTTACTTCATCAATATTGATTATACATTCGTGTATTCAAAGATAATACGAATTTGTTGAAATTATAGTTTGGATCATTGAACAATATCAGTGTTCTTCAATGTCATACTTTGAAAAAGTGTTACTCAAAGTATGGAAATATAAAGTTCATGTGAAATAAGGTGCCACATGACCTTTTCAATATTACGATCTTATTCCAGTAGTGATTGAATTTTTAATCATTTCATTAATTATTTATCGTAGGTTATTCAGCAGCCGGAGGAGATTATGTCAATGGCCCACAGCGAGGAAGTGGTTATGGCGTTGTTCAATCGTACCACCCATATCGGAGATAATTTTCAAAATTCCATTCCCAATGTTTTCATCTGACTACTCGTTATTGAAACGTTATTATTCACAAAACTGAATTCATTTGAGGGTCAACTACTTTGCCAAAACATGAATAAGTTTAGAGATAAACTAAACCATTATATATTTATCAAAACATATTAACGAGAAATTAACAGCTAACAATGAAAAAAAGTGTTAAATAAAAAGAAGAGTAATTGCCCATCAACTTTTTATGTAACAATTTTTTTTGTTCAACACTAATAAACTTTTGAATTATTGCCGCCTAGCTATCCTCCTTGACTTTAAATTATATCATTAGTTTAAACAAAGAATTGAGCTTTTTTATGTGACATACTTTGATATGTATAAATATATCTAGATTCAATACTTTTCAATAATTTCAAAAAAGAATACTTGAATATAATATTAATAAGTTACATTTTTTCAAAGGAAATGTATATTTTGAAAAATCCATGAAAATAATCATCATTTATGATTTATAATTAATTTTCTGGTGCATGTTATGTGTTTTGAAAACAAATGGTAATTTCATTTTCACCAAATTCACATTTTTTCACTGGAAGTAAATTAATGACTTTCATTTCTATCAAACTTTTCATTTATGTATTGTGTTTAACATGAAATTTACGAAATTTCCGTATATTATTATTTGAACTATAAGTAAACTTCATGGTCTCAATGAATTCATTTATGAATTGATATATGATACATTATTGCGGAAAAAACAATTTTGTTTGCAGATGAATTTGTATTGTTATTGAAATTTGGCATCTCATAATTATGGCAGTAACACCAAGATTGAAGAAATTATTTAAATTTTTCAATCTCAACTGAATATTGAGAGCTAATTGTTGAATTCATCTCTTTTTTTGTCTAAAAAATTCTTTTGAATATTTGATTATGGCTACTTATTTCATTTGGTCATTATATGAAGTATGAAGAATTATTGTTTCACTTTTTCCATGTGGTAGCTGCAATTAGTTTCTCAAGATAAGTTTTTATAAAGAAATTTGTAAATGGGTAATTATAAATTAGACCCAGGTTATTGTAGTTGTTCAGTATGTGAATGAACCTTATTAGATTAAACTGTAATTTTTACTGTAAACTGAGAACAATGTTTCGTTTCATTTTTATACATTGGGAATTTAATTTTCATGTTGTTCATTGAGTTCTATATTTCAATTTTGGAGTAACGTTTCATTCTGTTAATTTTTAAGATAAATCAGTGCCCACAGTTCTCAGTTGGCTTTGGTATTGGGTGTATTTTGTTTACAATAATCCCATTCCACATTGGGTTATTCCTGCCAAAAGTTATTCGCTGTTCTGCTCGATCAAATAACATTGAGCAGAAAATAACTTTTGTTAGAAATAGCCCAATCTGGAATACAATTAGTGCCAACAAAAACATCTACTATCAAAGGTTGACAATATGTAGAGCATCTGCGATTCTGGTACAAGCAATAGAAAACAGCTATATGTAAATGTTTTAAGTTCTGCGGTGCAAATAATGTCAAATTAGGTAATTCAAATGATGGTCAAATGCGCCTAAACAATGAAGCAACGATCATATAATTAGAAGAAGAATAAATAATTCGAATCACTTTGATAATCAAATTATTATGATAATCGAATTATCGATAATTTTGTATTCAAACAAACAAAAGTTGCCCTGTTTTATATTTCTTATGAATAAAATTTCAATGCAACTTTTTGTTCATTAAATTCTATCCACACCTTTTCAGTTTTTTCATAAATAGCCACTATCAAAAATTCTGTTTCTGTGTGTATCACAACAATGTATTTCCCGACGTTTCTCTTCGTAAAAGCATCATCAGAGTCAGGTCATATTCCTCATTAGAAATGTCTCACAAAAGTAGAGACCAATATTCTCAGTATCAAAAATTCGAAAATATATCCAAATATCTCTTGGAAATTTGCAGGTAGATGGGTATGCATTTCTTCAAGTTTCAAGAGATATAATTTTTGTTTAGAAACCAATTATCATCACAAATTCTATCATGTATTAAGACATGTGTTTCTCGAAATTTTTATTTCAAACACAAACTTCGGTCAAATAGGCCCAAGTAATTGTATAGGACATTACTACCTGCAATATTATATATTATGATGGCAGTAGAAATAATCATTGTTCGTTGTTTTAAATAATGGATTCAACAGGTGTTCTTTTTTTATTTTTATTATTTCTTTCGAAACGATAAAATAATAAAAAATTGAAGGATAGGCCACCAGAACAGTTTCAGAGTGATGAAATTATTTTTTCAAACAGCGCTATTCTGACAGCCTTGAAAGTAACATCTAGGTGTCATCATTCTTAGATCATACTTCATTCCCAGGGCCTTGTTATGCATCATTCTCACAATTGAAACGATGGAATTAAATATTTAAACATGATTGTGATTGAATATTAAAAATTTGCATGAATGCCTCTACAGAAATTAACAGGTTTAATTTGATGTTATGATTATAACCATGACTAGACCCTAACCGTACTGATATGTACTCAAATGAATATATAAATCAAATAAAACACCAATACAATGAAATCATATTGTTTCGCTATACAGTAGCTTCTTCAGGCGTATCTATATACAGGAGAAGTTATGATACGCCTGAAGAAATAGCGAAATACATGTTGCATTTTTGTGAAACTATATAGTAGGAATCTCACAATGAAATGTTTCTTGAATACGTTATGGATTTTCATCAAGTATCGGCTGATTCTATTACATATCTGTTCATATATTTGAACACCGTGTCTTTATAATAATAATAATAATAATCTTTATTGGTTTCAAAGACCTAAAAGGCATAAAACAAGCCAAAAGAAATTTGAACATAGATTAGGCAAACAATACATGTACTTTAAAATGCTATAAGGAGCAAAAATAGTTCACTACGAAGATAAGAACTCGTCCATTGTATAATACGAGTTATCCAGTAAGTATGTTTTCAGCGTTTTTCTGAATCTGAAGTAAGATACCTCCTGATCGATTTTTGTCAATAGGTGGTTGATGAAAACCCTAATTCCATTGGAAATAGGGCCATACAGGTATATATTTAATTGTTTTTGGGGTGTGTAAAGATGATGAGTGAATCTTGTTGCGTAATTATGGATATCATATTATGATAGGGAATTTTGTTTCTGTTTCTATGTATATAACAGGAAACTTCCAATATAATGCTGAAAAGGGGAGTATATTCAGTTTTTTAAAAAGAGGTTTGCATGATTCTCTCTGATTTTTATTTAACATTGCAAGTATTTTTTTTGTACTAGGAATAGTTTTTGTGCTGAAGACGACATGCCCCATAACAAAATTCCATTTGATAGTCGGGATTGTATTCCCGCAAAATAATAACTTCTTAGAACATTTATATCAATCACTCTCTGAAGACATCTGATCTGGTAAAGCTTACTGTTCAATTTTTTTATTGTTTCACTAATGTGAGATTCCCAATCAAGTGTATCACTCATAGTTACACCTAGAAATTTAATGGTGTGACACTTCTCTAGAGTCGTTTCCCCTAAATGAATCTCTATATTTTCAGCCGTTCTCTGTTTTGTGTGGTAAATAATAAATGTTTTGCTAGCATTGATATAAAGACTGTTAATGGAGAACCACAGAATGATTTTTTCCATGAGATCATTGCAAGCTTGTTGATTGAGATCGTGAGATTTTTGTGATACTAATATGGAGAGATCATAGCGTATAACGTTAATTTAAAATATGAGAGGTATTTTACAATGTCTACTAAGTAGATTGAAAATAGAGCTGGAGCAAGAATACTCCCCTGAGGAACTCTAACTTCCACCAGGTGCAAGATGTGTGATCTATAAATTGTAACTATTTTATGAGTTTCAAATACACATCCACAACATTCAAAAACTTTTTCAATACTTAGGTTGTTAATATTTAAAGGAGTTACAAGTTCTTGTTTTGCCCACAGGGCAGTACCACCGCCCTTGTACATACCGCGACAGTATGCACTTGCAAGGTTATGAAAAATTACTCACTTCAAAGTCCTTTCAACCATGATTCTGTTACTGACAAAAACATTGGTTGCTGGACAGAAAGCTCCACTTCGAGCAAACTCTGCTTGCTTCTTATACTTTGCATATTTGCATATAAAATGAAGTTTACATTCGTTTCGTTACTATCGTCAATATTTTTGCTTTTGCTATCTATGAAAAATTCATGCTATTCCTTTGAGCATCCATATACTGCCTATAGCGCCTGAAGTCATATCTCCTGAAACCTACTCCTCTGGGCCAAAATTCTGGTGTATATAATTTTTCTTTGTGGGAGAAGTCAGCCTCAACCACGAAAAATTTCAGTTGGTTTGAATCTGTTTGCAGCTCTTGAACTGTGACATCACTATTTTCTTCCCCTTCTGGTTCCTTCGGGTGAAGCTTTTTCGATATGAACTTTTTTATTTGGGTGTCGTTTACGTTTCTGCTTACTCTGTATAGATATAACCATACTTTCGGATTTGCCCCTGTAAAGTCGGTTTTATCTTCACTGATGCCAATTTATTCAGTTGGATTTCCTGATTTTCTATTTATGTTGTTATGGCGTCGACTGTTTCTACTCTTAGGACGTACAAAACTTTTTCCATCATCATCGTCACGGCCAGCGATACCGTTAGTTTCCCCTTGATAGATGATTTCATTCATCAAACTCGTTCTAGTTCGATCTTACTAGGCATCCCTGTTAGTTCAGGTTTTTGTGGTAAATCATGTTTGTTTACAATTCCTTGGACAGCTGGAGATTACTTTCAAAAAAATGTTCTTGTTGAAATTTCGCATTATTCAGGTAATAAAAATTGATTTTATTTTAGAATTGAAATTTTGACCTTATATCGATTCATTCACCTGAGAATATTTTAGGAAATAATCTTTACGAATACCACTCAACAGATAAATGTCCATTTCCTAACGAAAACGTATTCAAAAAACACGTTATTGTGAGATTTTCACTAAACAATTTAAAAAAAAAAACGTTTTCGCGTGTTGTAAAACTGATTAGTGAAAATCTCACAATAAAGTGTTTTTTGAATACGTTAGTTATAGGTTTTCATCAAGTATCGGTCAATTTCATCATATATCTTAACGAAAACTTTGCTATCTAGCAATACCAATCGAGTAACCAGCTAAATAGCAAAGTTTTCGTTAAACATTGAAAAATATCGATATTTTTTGAGGTCCTGCGGTATTACTTTCGATAAAATTAAGTGTTGAAAACCCACGCAAATTCTGCTTCCACATACAAGAACTGAAAAACTCTTCTCGACACGTGTTTCTGCAACGTGTATTGGCGTCAAAATAGACATTGT